ATAGATAGATAGATAGATAGATAGATAGATAGATAGATAGATAGATAGATAGATAGATAGATAGATAGATAGATAGATAGATAGATAGATAGATAATGATGATGATTGACAGTGACACTATTTGGCCCTTATGTGAGAGAGTGATAATTAAAACATCTTTTCACCCTGAAGCTACTATAAACTGCAGTAAGTGCTATCACATTAGTCAGGTGTTGTTGACACTTAAATGAATACAGATCAGCTATTAATTTACAGCTTGAGCTTCATCTCTGGGGCTCCGTCTTGGCCTCATCCATGGCTTTAGTCATTCTGTACAGTAATTTGGTTTAACTTTGAGCAGAATATACACACAAACAAACTGCTGCCTTAAGGGTGTTTGAATTTTGTCAGAAAAAAACAAACCCCCAGCTTGACAGATGAGCAGCAGGTTGCGAATGACAGGAACAACATCTTCATTTGATATTCAGCTTGATATTTGTCAGTATTTCGCTGTTGGCATAAATTTTTAATGACTTCATTTTCTCTTTGCTCTTGTTAATGGCACTGAGCTCAGCGGAGGTGAAGGAGAGTATCACGAATAGGAATGCTTTCCTGGTAAATTTACTAGATACTTCTTACAAAAGTGCAGGCAGAGTGACTGCAGTGTATGCAAGATGATTTCCAGCCTGACAGAGGACAGGAAAGAGGACCGGGGTTGATGAGAAAGTAATGATTCATTTGCTATTTCCCAGGACACCTGCGAGGAACAGCCTGTGATACACACAAATGCAAGCAACAAGACACGCACACAGACAACACATTTTATAAGGGAAAAAAAAAAGCAATCTCAATCCAGACACAAACAGACACTCACACACACACACACACTTGTTGCTAAGGGGGTGAAATGGTTTGTTGCAGATACTGATTAGCCGACCAAGCACTTGTGTGTGTTTTCTTTTCCTGAAAGACGCCCCTCATCTCACTGTAATCAGCACCGAGCAAGTCCCAGGTGGTTGTGTGTCAGTAAAATTGAGACCGAGACTTGTATTTTAGGCGTTTCGCCGTCTTGCATCACTGATAGACAGCCGATGACTGACAACCCGGACGGATCTGCAGTGCACAGCTGAAACTCTTATCTACATGTGAAGCCTGTTTGATCTTTTTCTTTCTCAAAGGCTCCATCTCTGGTTCTCCTTTCTTTTCAAACGCACAGTCAACATGTCATTGTTCAGCACAGTCCTATGAGTGATGCTGCTGTTTATAAAGTCAAAACAATACAAATTGAAGCATCTGTGTGTGAAATATATTGAAATGTTTGCCCAGAGGCAGAGCGGCTGAACATAATGGACAGATTGGTTTCTTTATTCAGGCTGTGGCTCGAGATAAAGATCATACCATCGTTTTCAGTATTGCAGTGCCCTCTTCTGACCGATATTTGCAAACACAAAAACAGAAGAGGGGTTGGTTTTTTTGGTTTTTTGTGCTCTCAATCTGCATGCATCATATATAATTATTACTCCTTTATCTGTGTTAAAGTTTACTCAGATCATAATAGATGGCAGCACAATTAGTTTTTTTGTTTTATTTGTTCTCTGTGCGATGCTGTTGTGCGGATTTTATTCAAATATTCTAAGCCTATATTAATTTAAAGTCATGGATTTGTGTAATTTTCCTTTGTCTTTATTTAATTGTAATCGCCAATAATTCTGTTACTTTATATCTCTGTTAAACATTTTCACCCACATTTGTTGCTGTTAAATGTATTTGCCAAACACATTGAGCTAGTTTAACTTACTCTTAATATACACATATTTGAAAATGTTTTTAAAAATGACAATAATAATAATAATAATAATAATAATAATAATAATATAATAAACTGTTTAGAAAATAATACATTCAAATTGGTGAGTTTGTTGGTCTAGAAAATCCAATCTAAACATTAATTAATTAAAAAGAACACTTCATTGAAAAATATTCAAAATTCTTCCTAAATTAATATATGTAGACACACACACACACACACACACACGCACACACACACAAAAAACGCTACCGATAATAAGACACAATTTTTGGCACAATAATTTATATTTATTTCTGTATGTCTAAACTTGCATATAAAACTTAGCTTTGTACAGTTGTGAGACAGTCTAAATGAAGTACTAGAGATCATGTGTATATATATATATATGTTCTATTTAGAAGTGTAGGTGCAGTTAAAGGTCATTGTCTCGCCAGCTTCCTCTCTGTCTGGGTAAGAAGCTCATGATGAGATGCTGATGCGCTGCAGGCTGCTGGGAGAGGTTGTTGGTCTGTGGGAGGCAGTCCAGGGTCAAACCTTTATGGGGGCAAACAGAGTACTGGGAGAGCAACTGCACCAAGATGGATTTCATCATCACCATGGCGATGTGTTTGCCAACGCAGGAGCGAGGGCCTGAACCGAACGGCTGGAAGTAACGCCGAGGGGCCTGGAAGGGAAAAAGTATAATTTCAAATAAAGTGTTTTTGTCTATAATGTTAATACTCATCACTTTAACAAATAAAAAATAATCTTGACACTCCAAACTCATCTAATCCACCTTGCTTGGACTGTTTGGGAGGTTGAATCAGATTTGATTGACAGTAATAAATTTTACATCCTGATTGGTACACTGAAGTATTTGACACCATCTTTTTCAACCTTCTACACACCAATGAGAAAAGCAAGGATAGAAACAGAAAAATTAAAATACCCCAAATTATTTTAACTTTGGCGGAAAACTGTGTGTTCACATAGGTCTCCGTCACTCATAGTAAGAAACTGACTTAGAAAATGGGCTTTCAGGATCTTAAGTGTTTATTCTATCAATATAAGCCACTCTGTCTTATACATTTGAGTGTTGCAGGTGGAATTATGCAAGTAAAAGACAAACTACTCACATTTTTTTCAAAGTTTCCCAGATTAAATTCATTGGCTTTCAAGAAAAACTCGGTCCGGTGCATGTGGCCGGTGTTCAGGATGATGTTTGTGCCCTTCGGTACCCTGTAGCCGTCTATGATGTCATCAGACAGGGCTCGACGCATGGTGAAGTCCACCACCGGGTGGAACCGCAAGCTCTCGTTGATGAAGCTCTCCAGCACGTGCAGCTTCTGAAGGTCTCCGTTCTGCAACTGTCTCTCACCTACAGTGAGACAATTGCAATTAACAAAACATTAATGCCATATAGTGACTTGCCAGTGTGCAATTTTGCAACAAGTCCTGTGTTTATGAAATGCACTAAATGCACCTTTGGAGTGCTCACATCCGAAAACTGTTCATGACTGGTCTAAAATCGATCATTAGTGGCCATCATTTAACCTCTGCTTTGTTGGATCAGTGTGTTTTTTCATCTTACCTACAACAGTGTCTATCTCCTGCAGCAGCTGTAGCTCCACATCTGGATTCTGTTTGAGCAGCAGCAGCATAAAGAAGATGCTGACGGCCAGAGTATCTGGTGCTGCGATCACCATCTCCAGCACACACTGCGTCACGTTCTCAGCAGTCAGCTCGCCGTGGTTCTGAAAACACAACCAAACGTGAATTAGATGTCCTGCATTAAAAGAATACTGACACACGGGTTCAAGGATGTGCCGAAAAAGCACTAAAAGAGATTATCTTTGAAATGAATGAACTCTGATTCGATTCTTATACTAACTTGTGCAAATATGAGCTCTGCTGTGAAGTTGATGTTGTCCAGTTTATCTGCCTGCTCCATATCTCTCCTCTTCTGAGCTACAAGGCTTTTTATGGCATCTTGTAGCTCCTGGCTGTGAGATAATAGATACAGAACACTTGATTACAAAAAAATATGTATGAAGAAGCATGACATGAATGATAAAAGTAAGTGAGTGACTCACCCTGCTGCCTTGTGCCTCTGGTGGATCCAGCCTAACTTGAAGTAAATGTCCGGTTTGATCAGCACAGTCGACCAGGTGTCAAAATAGTGCAAAATCTTCTGCAACAGCTCTTTCTCTGGACACACAATTCAACAGTCAGATAAATTCACTGAATCTTCACTCAAACTCACACAGTTCCTATTTGTGCTTGATGCATTCTTTCAGATGAAATACATCCTCACTTACAACTTGTATAATAGCCATCTCTACATGTCTGTTTACCATTTATAGGGACATCCAGGAAGAGTCTGTTGGAAATGTCGACTACAGTGCAGCGCAGCAAACTCAGGACGTCTACATTACTCAGGCTGTCCAGGTTGTCCAGGTGAGCCTTAGTGGACAAGGCGCAAATCTCCACGGTCTGCTGCAGATTGGGACCTGTCAGGGCTGAAACAGAAAGGTTTTTGTGACTTATTGTCACTGAATTTGTTGACAACCACTCAGTTTGGACAGCTGATTGAAGGTACAAGTGCTACCTTTAGTGAAATAGGTGCGTATCTTTTTCCACAGAGCCACATTGTTGTTAAATATGATGCCTCTCTCGTTCATGCCGATGCAGCTGAGACCCAGCTTGCTCCCAAAACGTGAAGTATAATGTCCATTCTTCAGCACATGATGCACTGCTGAAGCCCTTGTAGTAAAAAAAAACGACACAGGAGATTATTATTTTGCACATTGCACGACTGACTTGTTTGCATTAACAGATGTAACCAACCTGCTGAGTATGAGTGTCTCCTCTCCATTGATCCAAACTCTAACGATGTCTCCATACTTCTTGTTGTAGTAGTTGCTGGCTGTGCCTATTCCGGTCCAGATGAATCTTATGTTTGACAGAAGTGGCCCCAAACCAAGACAAAATGAGGGACCTGTTGTGGGAAATGATGTCAAATACTGTAGTTCGGTTTGTACCAGTTTCAGTGTCAAATCTAAAATACGGTCACTGAACTTACCTGGGACGGTTTTCTTGTCGGTGTGACTCCAGGCGGCCACCAGCACACACACAAGCAGTATGAGGGTTCTGGTCGCCATGGAGATACCTGGTGATTGCGCTGCAGTTGCATTCGGGGACATAGAGACCAAGTCTGCCATGACGGCGTCCAAACCCAAAGGAGTCATCGTCCGTTCACAGCCAGAGATCAGATCCATAAGAGGTGAGATGTAAAACCACCTGCACACGTCCAAATGATGACGGCTGCCTCGGCTCTGTCTTTATAGGCGGGCTGAGCTGGTTACGAGCCAGGTCAGGGTAATACAAAAGCCACAACAGAGGAGGGAAATGGTAAACAACACACTTGTAACCTTGGAGGGTTGGATTGGTGCCTGTGCCCTTGGGAGTACAGGACTTGGTTCAGTGATGGTGTGAACTTGTATTTGGCATTTTGGTGATGAGAAATAGGCTGTAGCGCCTTCTTTGAACATCAAAATAAATAGGTTAAAAAATCCAACACAATAACAGCTTGGGCTGTGAGACTGTGGGAGCATCTTTGTTGTTATTGTCAATACTGCAGATTTATCTGTCTGGACAGATTTCATTGCATTTTTCACTCATGCTTAAGGTTTTCTTCTAATTTCTTCTACAAAAGCTAAGAAAACAAGGGAAAGCTGGGATTAAAGAGGGCATTTTTGTTTTGTTTTGTTTTTTTTCTTTTATATATTGCCTTTATACTGCAGATCTAATTACAGTTTAGGTAAAAGTTCCCATTGCTTTTAAATGATAACTTGAAAGGATCATTTGGAGTTCACAGTATTTGTGATCACACCCAGATTCCACCATCACGCCACCAGTAGATGGAGAAGCAGAGCTGTGAAGCATTAAACCAGATCCAGATCTTATTTTACTGAAACATTCACCTATAAAGTCGTGAAAAGAAAACAATATACCGAATACGGTGCCACTATAAGAGTTGTTTAAAAAGTCGCAGTCATTTAATCCTTTAACGTTATACATAACAGGAGCTTAAAATGCAGATGTCATATTTGTTTCCCAAAATGTCAAGTCGGGAAGAATTATGAAACACGTGAATGAATATATGCAATAGTACATGAGCCCCATCATCAGCTAGTGTCCTGCTAATCTCCATTCCCCGGCAAACGAGTGCAGCTCATGGGACTAATGGATGGACTTATGTAACAATTGTCCTTATCAGAAATGCAAAGTGGAGAAGCTCTTAGAAAACAGCTTTTAGACAGCTTTTTTTTTTTTTTTAAATTAATAAAACAACTGACTAGAATTACTGGCTGAATTATTGAATTTAACAGGAACCTTTTACAGATTTGGATTGGGCCTCTGCTCAGACTTAAGAATTTCGTATTTTCAAACTCTTGTCGATGGCACAGACACCACTACGTACACAGCTTTTCTGCAGTGTAGTACAGTGACAACATTAAAACTCAATCTAAGATATATGTGGAATTATGTAGCGAGGGAAAGTTAACAAAGCAACTGTTTCCCTCCATTTCCCTGTAAACCCTGGTAATTTTATTCATTTTGTTTTTTATTGCAATTTGTGACTCCATGCTGTCTCATTTTGCCTTTGTTCAATTGGCTCATTCTGCATAAAAGACTCTGTGAATTCACTTACCGCCCACACTTGAGTCCAAGAATGTGCGCAGTTCAAATGGCCGACTGTGTGCTGAGGCCCTGCCTCGATAGTGATGCCCTGCATGATGGCTCAGTCCTAGATTGTTCCACATGATTAAGCAGCGACAAGCCCGCTGTTTCTCCCGAAAACAGAGGTTAATGTAACCTTGTGTCTGGGCTCTGTGTTGTGGTCAAGCACATCTTTGTCTCCAGCCACATGTGTAGGAAGAATTCCAAAGTGAGCACACAAGACTGACAGAAAGCTGGGAAAAAAAGCAGTTAAATGTCAAAACATGTATGACGTTTGGACAAAATTTATTCTGTGTGATCTGCCATGAGTTGGTTAGCACTGTTCACATCCCGGTGGGGGCACCGGAATCTTTCTGTGTGGAGTTTGCATGTTCTCCCCGTGCAGCGTGGGTTCTCTCCAGGTTCTCCGGATTCCTCCCACACAGTCCAAAAACATGTTGAGGTTAATTGGTGATTCTAAATTGTCCCTAGGTGTGAATGTGGTTGTCTGTCTCTAAGTGTAGCCCTGTGATAGACTGGTGACCTGTCCATGTGTCCCCTGCCTTCGCCCTGAGTCAGCTGGGATAGACTCCAGCCCCCCTGCGACCCTAGTGAGAATTAAGTGGTGTATAGATAATGGATGGATGGATGGATGGATCTGCCATGACAACTTTGAGGAATTTATGTCAGAATTCCTCTTTAAGGGGGCATCGCAGAGTTGGAACGAGATTTGATAACAGCAAGAAGATGAACTTGCTGACCCACCAACTCTGACTAAACACTGGGAGATACGTGCCATAGAGAGGGATGCTTCACTGTTTGTTCCTCCACACTTACGTAACAAATTCGCTTACATAACATGCTTTAGTTGAAGGCCTGAGACATCCTCAATAGTTTAACTGAAACTCAAAAATTTCAAGATGTTCAATAAATGCTTTTTTTTATTTATTTATTTTTTTACATGCAAACATTTACTCTAACTGCCACATAATTTACTCTGAGTACAATATTTTATCCCTATACTCTCTGTTTTACTGATCTAGTGAATTACTTGAATTACTGAACTGTGACATTTGAGTAATAATACGTTTCAAACCTGTGAACAAAAGCAAAGGAGTAGGAGGATAAGGCTTGTTTGAAGACACATCTGATCATCTGGCTGTCCTTGGTCTGGAGCACCAACAAGGACATGGACCTCTCAACCCGGCGGTAAGAAGAGAGATAAGGTCGCTTTCCCAGCAGCTGCACCTCAGGAAGGAGGAAACACAACCAGAAGAGGTTAAGACAACAGGTGGGAAATGTCTTGTTGGCATGTCAACATACAGTAAAGTTAATTAATCATTTTATCTGATTTACACTGAACAAAAATATGAAGCCACCAATTTCCTGACTCTGAGAGAAAAGTTAAAAACCTTGTTTCTGTTGTTTTTGTAAGAAAATGATTTAATCTAGTCGACTGTGCACAAAAGGTTTTATGACGAATGACAAATTCTTGACGATTGAGTTCACTTACATCCTGGTTAGGTGTAACTTAACCAAGGACCGTTGTGTGATCAGGATGCTACATTCACCAGTCACTATGAAAGGCTGCTTTCAAATGCAGATTTAATCAAACGACACAATGCCACAGATAACAAGATAGCAAGTTGCTGGCAGGCCGGATGCTGGCTGAGACGATCACATCATCAACATCTCCACCATTTGTTGTCCAAGAAGTCAGACCTGCTCAAACTGTGAGGAATCGCTTGAGGGTAGCCGGTTTGTGATGTCGTTGTCCGCACCAAGGCCTCGATCTAATGGCAAAACAGTGTCATAATCAGCTCTCATGGACAACCAATCATGTTTGTTGCAGAAAAGCAAGATGGAGAAGAGTCTCTTTCACTGTCTGATCTCATTTTCAGCTGTGCAAAGCAGATGGCAGACATCATGTTTGGTGTTGTACAAGGGAAAGGTCAACGTTGTACAGAGAGTGGCCCGTGGAGGTGGAGGAGCGATGAATGGGGCAGGGATACTTCATGGACAAGGAATGTGTCTGCATTTCTTCATTCCCCACCATCCCTGTCTTCATGTTGCCACAACATGCACTGACCTTCTACAGCAGCTGAAAATGTTCAAGCGCTAAATGGACTGCAAAGGCTGCAAACATGTCACCAGTCTAACATCTGTGGGATGCTCTGGATGGATGTGTCCAACAATATGATTTTGTGCCCTTAAATGTCTGTCAACTCCACCCAGACCTTCATGAAGAGCAGGACAAAAGTCCATAATCAGCATCTACAGCCTCATCAGCTCTATTGTAAATGTTTATAAATGTCGGAAATGACCAAACTTTTGATCTGCCCACTATCATTTCCAGCATATTCCCCTTTATTAAAAAGAAAGCATAAAATTCAATAAAATATGACATGCTGCCTTTATATTTTTGTTTAGTATATCATATCAAGCTTTGCACAAATTACATTGTTCAATACAAAGTCATCTTTAAGATCCTTGTGGTTCACTTTTTGCCCGTTTAGTATTTTGAATGCATATAACAAATGACCGCCTCACTCTGCTTTTTGTCCTCAGTCTCAGCTGGTTGAGACAGTGAATGAGAGACAACAAAGGGACGGCCTTGACGTTCTTACAACTATACGTGCGCACACATTTGCTGGAGCAATTCAAGCTGTCCAACAACTGGCCATCAGTGACCTACAGCCTGAGGCAGAGTCCACAATCTGCAGACAGAATGAATCTAGTAATGTATCACGCCTGCTTTTTCTATCTACCTCTTCCTGTTGTTTGTGTTATAAGGCCATGCTGCTATGGCTGCAAGAGCATGTAGGTCAGTACCGCTCCATATCAACAGACTGGCTGATTAACTGATTTATTAAAGCAGTAATTTTATCTTCACATAAGTGAAAAAGGGGCAGTACCAACCACCTTTCACACTAAAGAAGCCTTCAAATGCTGAGAGCTGGATCTTCTTCTGCTGAACTCTTATTTTTTTTCCCCCCAGTTGAAATGTCACATTTCTTGCCCAAATCAAAGCAATGGAAATGGGTCATTGTTGCTGCTGGTGAATGGGACTATGAGAATGTGACAAGGACGAGAGCCGGGGGGATAAAATTCAGGGAGGATACAGGAGACAGGAAAGAGAGAGAGACGAGGCAACTCAGTGGAATGATATTGACGTTGATGCGTTTCGATGTGGTGTATTTTCTTTTGATTCCAGGTTAATTCTGCTGTTATAATAATACAAATAAAGATCCATTCACCTAAGGAACAGTGTAACTGACCATTCCCTTTGTTTAGTGTGAAACATGTTTTCATGTGTTATGTATGTAAGTTCTTTTGTGCGTACATCATTCATATGTGTGTGTGTGTGTGTGTGTGTGTGATGTCAGTCTGCCCACGGCGGTGCAGTAGAATGGGTTGTGATGAATATAAATCAGGTGACTGAACAGGCGGGGGTTTCTTCCCAGACAAGCCCAGAAGATTGTGTAATGCCCACTCCTACATTACTGGTTTTGCGTGCACACACATACATACACACACACACACACACACAAACACACACACACACACACACACGACCCCTTCTCCACTTGGCGATCAACACAACAACCACTGTATTTACTAGTCAGCCTTCAGATAGACCACCCGTGTGCAGCGCAGACACTGAAGCAGACTGGACTTTTATCTGAACCTTTCCAATATTCTGGACAGGACCTTAAATTTCAGCAAAAGGACTTCCTTCTTTTTGTTGGATTGGATCGATTTTGGTTGGTTTGACATCTCGGACTTTAAGGCCGTTAAACTTTCTCCATCCTGTTTGACTTTTGTCCTGCTGCGCTGGAATTTTAATCCCCTGTGAATGCTGAGGTTGGGAGACGACCCTCAAAAGAGAGGAGGTGAAGTGGTGACCATGTGGATCCCGACACCCAGCATGACCCTCACCCAGCGGCTGGTGCTGTACGGGACGTGTGCCGTGGCGCTGATGAACTCAGTGGGCATTCTGGTGCTCCTGGTCCAGCAGAATCAGCAGCACGTCCGGCTGGGGCAGACGGAGGCGAGGCTGACGGAGGTGGAGCAGAGCTCGGTGGTCGAGTTCATCCAGGAGGTGCCAAGAGGAGCGGCGGGGCTGAGGGCGAGCGTCGGTGGGGAACAGCCGCAGTACCAATACCAGTACTCCAGGAACAAGAGGAGCGAAGAGCTGGAGAAGGAGCTGCAGCAGGAGATGCAGGAGATTCACCTGGAGGACGGAAAGGAGTTCAGCGAGCAGGAGGTCAGCCAAGAGGTCGGAGAGGAAACGGAGAAGAAGATGAAGCACAAGCACCTACACAGCCAGAGATACCACAAGGCACACGTGCAAGACGACATGATGATGATGATGACTTACTCCATGGTGCCGGTGAGATGAGGGACTTGCTGGTAGACTGTTTATAGGAGAGTGCAGCCAATCACATTTATAAGCTCTATACACAATCTGCTGTATGCTGCATTATTTTATCATTGTTGATTGATGCTGCATCATCCTCTGGTTGAAATGTGCATCCTGGGGCCTGTTGACCATCAGGGCACATGAAGGTTCCAGTTTGTGGCATTGTTTGGTTGGACTGTTTGTATCACAGGCACAAAATAGACTAAATATAAAGACATTAAGGTGACACATAATTCAGATTTGTTGTGTTTTAGATGGCTTTAGCTTATATTCATTTTAAGGCCTTTGTTATTTTGAAGGTTGCATGTTCCAAAATAAATAATATAAATAGCACAGACTACTTCGTCATTACAAACTATTACATATGAAACACACAGAAAATGAAATGTAGTTTTTAAAAATGCACTTACTCCAGTACAGTTTTGACTTGTAAATCCACTTTGTGCTATTTTATACTTTTACTCTGCAACATTTCAGAAATATAATTATGCATGGTTATTTTACAGATTGAGATTTTACATACAAAGAATGACCAACTTAGGAAATATCAAAATCAATCACATCAAATCAAATCAAAGTTATTGTAATTTTGCTGTACATACATAGTAGCACAGGCAAGATGAGAGAGCATTTCTTCAGGATCCAATAACTTAAAGCAATTTAAATAAAGAAGTGTTTGCATATCTGGATCAGCAGATATGATGTATTGTTACACATAAGTTTTATGTTCAGCATTGGTAGTAATAATCCTGTAATATAATTTATATTAAAAACTCAACACATTTACGTTTGATACTGTTTGCTCATAATATGTCTGTATATATGCTTAAGTAACATTACTTATATTAGCATTTTTTCTAATTTAGATAAAGACTAAGATTTATTACATCATAGTATTTAATATTATTATAATATATTTTGATATTTTCTCTTTCTCTTCAGATCAAATTGTTGATCGACATCTGCAACAGCACCAAGGGAGTCTGCATAGCTGGTATATTTCACTTACATAATCTACCTAACCAGGTCCCAAAATATCACCATTTTTTCTTCTAACATCCTCAAACTTTCCTTTGCAGGACCACCAGGACCGCCGGGTAAGTGGACTCGTAAATCTGCTTCCAAATTTAAAATCAAGCCCTACTGTACGTCTCCTTTGTTGTTTAGTGACCCATACCCTTGTTGAATGTTGTTTTGTTGAGGATTTTTTTTGTGCTACTGTAGGTTTGCCTGGTGCAGATGGCATGCCTGGTCAGAATGGGACTGATGGCATCCCTGGACTGAATGGAGCGCCCGGGGCTGACGGGAAAAGAGGAAAAAAAGGTAAGAAAGAAGTGAGGATCTGCTCTGTTTTCACTCACCATCCATTTCTAGTAATGCCTCGGGCAGTGTTGGCCATTTCAGTGCAGAGCTGCTGGTACAATGCAACGATCAAAAGGGTTGAGTATAACCTGGAGGTCGAAACGCCAAAATACCAAGAAGCACAGTCACTTAAAATCATGCACACACACACACACACACACACACACACACACACACACACACACACACACACACACACACACACACACACACACACACA